AAAAGTTCTTGGTTAATACTATCCAGAAAGATATTTGCTCAAAACTCCAATTATTGCACTGTTTCTTTTTAAATGTGTTCCCATTGTAAGCCCCAGCCCAAATTTGCCACCTCTATTTACAGATGATTCTTTCTACTAAGTTGTTTGAAATTGCATTATGTCTGCCTTTATTTGAAATAACACACTTCTGCTGGAATAATGCTATTATCAATATTTTTCCTTTCTTCATAAACTACCAGGCCTTACTTCAGACTCACGATGTAGTGGCACATGAAGTTTACAGCGATGAAGCATTGAGGGTCACACCTCCTCCCACCTCTCCCTATTTAAATGGTGATTCTCCAGAAAGCGCCAACGGAGATATGGATATGGAGAATGTGACCAGAGTCCGCCTGGTCCAGTTCCAAAAGAACACAGATGAGCCCATGGTAAGTTTTCTAGACTCTCAAGTCCCAGCCTGAATTAGGGCTCCCAACTTCAGCCTACACTACTAGGGGGCGGGGAGGGAAGGAGGGCACGAGAGTGTTAAAGCAGCCTGTTTCCAGGTCCTCCACCACCTCCCAACCCGCACCCAGAACTGTTCCAGCTGAGGCCATGCCTGAGGCCTCCTCCCACCTCTCCTTTCCCAAATGCTCTGCAACTTCACCAAAAAAGGACCTACCTGGTACAGTACTCCAGGAAAAACCTTGGGGGCACAATTTGAAATACTGGCATTGAAAAAGCGAATGTCTAATGACATTGTGAAAAACATCCTCTTACAAGATCTGTTGCCTTCAACAAAACCAGAGGAAGACTGATTTGGAAGGCATCCCAAGAACTGAGCAATGTGGCTAAAATAACATTCCTTCCATTCACATCTACCTCTTTAATATGAATTCATTTTCTTGGGGTGTAGGAATAACATCAGAATCAATTGATGCTGAACCTGCCTCATTGTCACAGAATCCTCATAGATGGGGAAAGGAAAATCGAGGAAAGGCTCCTTGGTGTTAACCGAGCAAAGTGGGGCGTGGGGCAGGAGGGCAGAGTGGAGACCATCCAGGCCAACCAAGCGGCGTGTGCAGAAGCCCACTAGTCAGAAAGGCTCTTCACGTAGTTTCAGAATGGAAAGAAGGCACCACGGCTGCCGTGTAGGAAACGGTGCCTGGCAGGAACGGGACACACGAGTGTTGAAAGAAAGACATGTTAAGGATTCTGTTCTTTGTCTCAAAGACAGTGGGAGGCTCTTGAAGAGTTTCAAGCAGGGAGAGAAGATCAGATTTGCATTTTAGAAAGACGCCCTCCAGAGAATGGATTAGAGGAGGACGAGCGAGGTTGTAGGGAGACCAGTGAGGAGATTATTGCCTCAGGACCGGGGAGAGTGGATGGGACTGGGAGCTAGAGGTGCGGAAACCAAATGGAAAGAAGTGAACATACTTAACAAAAAAGTAAAATCAATAGACCTGGATAATAGATTGATGGTGGGGACTGAGGGAGAAACAGTTACCAAGGATGTCCCTTAAGCTTTAGATTTTCACAATCAGATGGACAGTGATGCTACCTATTGAGAGAAAGACTATTGGAAAAGTTCCATATTTGGGGGAGGAATCCTATCTTTAGGGGGAAGGGGGGAAAAAAGCATTCAAACTTAACGCATTCATATCTTTCCCTCGGAGCATAGAAAAGGGATATTGGGATATAGAAAAACAAATTCCCTACTTAAGAAAGTTGCCCAGTTGCTTTCCAAATTAAAGGGAGAGCTACAGAGCAGTGATTCTCTGACTGCCATTTCCAAAGAGCCCTCAAGCCTAGATGTTTCCGGTTGTAATTCTCACTTACTGATCTCTGCCCAGCACTTGCAGCAGGCAGGGGGCATGTGAATCACTTCAACCCCTTTTTGGTGCCATCCAAACAACCCTCTGGCTTAAGAGCACAGGCAGTAGCAGCCTTTGGCTGCCTTGGGCAGATCACTTCAAGTCTGCTCCTACTTTGCTTAGCAATTATTGCCAGAAGCATACTTGACTAAATGACCCCCAAGATCCCACCTGGCTCTGAAGGTCTAGTATCCATTTATTCATATTATCTATTCATTCACTCATTTAGCAAATGATTGTTAAGTGCCTACTGTGCACCAATCACTGTGTTGGATGCCAGTGATGTAGCAGCAGGTAAGACACGGCCTCTTCCCAGAGCTCACTTTCCCCAGGGCTGCCAGCATCAAATCAGTAAGTAGGCAGTTCAGCACAGTTTGCTAAACACGAACAGTTATGATAGAGCTATAGAGGAGAGAAGGCTGTGTCCAAGAGGCAAGAAGAAGTGATGACATTCAGCCAAGCAAAATAGACAGGAAAGCTGGAAGGACCACAAGAAGGAGGCCCAGAAGTGTCCTGTGATCATCATATTCTAAAGCAGCCCAATGACATTTGTGTGATCTTTTCTATGGAGGCTCACTACCTAAACACCATAGACTGAGTAAAAATGTATCCCTCAGTTACTTTTCTCAGAGAGCATAAAATGGCCCTGAGTCTCCCCTAAAAGTCTCCTTAAAAAAAGCCCTCCTCTGTTCTATCTTTGATCCTACTGAAAGTGTGCGTTCTCCCTTTGACTGGTTGCCATAAAAATGGGAATTATTTGATGTAAAATATTTTCAACAATGGAATACAGTTCTCCATTACATTTAATACAGCTTCATTTGCTTGGTTAGTTGTCTTATTAAAAGCATTATATTACTGTGCAGGATATGCCTATATTATCTCTTTTGTTTTTTGGACCTTCTGTAACGTGTCCAACTATGTTAGATCCACCCTACAAGGGTGATACGCTCCCATTTACACCCTTGTTTTCCCATTTACAAATTCACCTTGAAATTACTCTCAGTTGACTGAGACTCCCTTAGTCGCAAGTGATGAAGACCGGACTTGAACTAGCTTGGACAATAGGGGAAAGGCTTATATAAACAAGGAAAGGCCAGGAGTCTACCCCAAGCTGGGGGTAGGTTCATGAGTAGGCACCCATCCCAAGCTGGACCAGTCCCTTCCCTGGAATTTGGGAACTTGGGAACAGAGAGAACATGAGTCAGTTCCTCTCTGCAAAGAAATGTTTGGGGCAGACAAAATAATAAATGTTATTAACTCTAGTCGGTTTGAGGTGAACTTCCCCCTAGTCATAAGAGACCCTGTCTGTCTCATCACTGTTGTCTATTCACTAGTGAATAGTCTCATTCATTATGTGCCTAGCAGAGTACCTGCCCACATAACAGGATCGCAGTAACATTGGTTGAATGAATACATTATTAATTTCAAGGATTGAACCCCCATCATACTGTCATTTCCCTTATGAAATTAGATTTAAATTACACATTAATTTATAGCATTTCTCCAGGAACACCTCTCTTGGTAACCTACATGCTGATTGAATATACAAGTTGGAAATGAAACTTGAACATTACAGTTGAATGTTGGGACTAGAAACATTTTGATATACCAGTTTTTCACATTGCTTGCCTACCACTTCTAAGAACTGCAAAATAGGAACCAAGCAAAGTTACATTTTGTGGAATTGTGCAGATTCAGTGTCTAAATTATAAAGGTTCAAATATTTTCATGAAGCTTTCCAACAGAGTATTATTCTCCAATGAAGAAGATAAGACAGTCCCCCTACCCTTATCTCAAAGTCAAGACTGGTTTTCACCAAGGGAACTTGTTAAAAATATAGATTTCTGGGCTCCATTCCAGACCTCCTGAATCTAAATCCAAAGAGTGAGTTTAAAAGACAGTATTATTTAAAAGGTCCCCATGTGATTTGTAGGATCAGCCATGTCTAGTACAAAAAATATGCTTATGAAATTTTATCTTATAATAGAGAATAATGGGAAAACAAAAAGTAATCTCTGTAGACCACTAGTCTGGCATTAAATATGTGGAGCTTCTAGTTCTGGCCAAGATGGAGTAACAAGGACCAGATTTACCCTCTCACCTGAAATAAGCAAAAAAACATAAAAGCAAACAAAATTACATGAAAGAACAATTTTCAAGACATTGGACATCAGTCAGCAAAGGAAAATGATCCCTAAGAGACAGGAAGCACACAGGGTGAGCCCTATGATTGCCTGACCTTAGTGACTTGAGAGAGTTTCCAGGCCACAGCACAGGAGGGGAAAACTGAGGCAGAGCAGGCAGACACCCTGAATTGAGGAGACAGAGCTGAGAATCCGAGGAGACCTAGGCACCTCAAGTGCATAGAACAGGACTGAAGAAGAGAGAGCTGCGCAGAGAGAGAACCCCAGAGATCTGTAGAGGGTCCCCCTGAAGTATTCATCTGAGTTATGATCAGTGCATTTATGAGAGGAAACTACCCAGAGCCAAGGAAAGACCATCCAAAAGGATTAGAGGGAACAGTACCGAATACTCACTGCCCATTAGCCACCAGCTGGACTGGAAAACAAATTCATGGGGCACTGCATAGAGTGCGCAGGAAGATCTTGTCTCAGTAATGAAGAATAATTAGCCCTAGGCTCAGAATTGCTCAAGACCTGCCTAACAAATCATGAAAGCAAGACCCAAAGGATCAAACTAATTGACCCAAGTAAGTGAACTATATATCCCAGAACAAAGCCTAAGAATATTTATACGAATAAAAAACATCTAGCATGCAGCAAGATAAAATTCACAATGTCTGTCCTTGACTCAAAGATTGCTAGGCATGTAAAGAAGGGGGAAAATGTGACTGAAAATGTGAATAATCAATCAAAACTGACAGACTGACAAAGATATTAGAATTAGAATGGGATTAATGGCAGATCAGACATTTGAGAAGAAAAGATTAGTGAACTCAAAGATGTGGCAATAGAAACGACCCAAAATGAAATACAGAAAAAGAATTTTTAAAAATGAAAAAAGCAGGGGTGCCTAGGTGGCTCAGTTGGTTAAGCATCTGACTCTTGATTTTAGCTCAGATCGTGATCTCAGGGTCATGAGATCGAGCCCCACATCAGGCTCCATACTGAGCGTGCAGTCTGCTTGAGATTCTCTCCCTCTCCTGCCCCTCCCCCTGCTTGTGTGCACGTGTACACGCTCTCTCAAATAAATAAATAAAATCTTTAAAAAAAAAAAAAGCTTTACCAAAAAAAAAACCCACTTTGGGTCATCTTAATTCTCTCCGTTGTATGTTTGTTTTCTGTTTCATTGTTTTATGACCTGATTTCTATTTATCTCTTTCATTCTACTTCCTGTTGGTTTTATCTAACTCTCTTAATTAGACACTTAGTTCATTTATCCCAGTCTTTTTTTTTTCTAATATATGCATCTGAGTCTAAACTCTACCCTTAAGTACTCATTTATCTGTATCCCACCAGTTTTATTATAAAGCATCTTTATTGTAATTCAGTTCTAAGTACTCTTAAATTCCTATTATGGTATCTTTCATTGACCCACATTTATTTAGAAGTGTTTTTTACATACCACATCTAAGAAGATTTTGTATCTTTTTATAATTTACTTCTAACTTAATTGCACTGTGGTCAAAGAGTGTGGTCTGTATGGTACCATTTCTTTGAGGTTTGTTGAGACTTGCTTGATGACATAGCACTTGAATCAGTTTTTTAAATAATCCATGTGTACTTAAGAAGAATGTTTATTCTTTAACTGTTGCATGGAGAGTTCTCTATATGATGATTGGCTTGGGGTTAATTTTTTTGTTCACATCTTTTTTTTTTTAATTTTTTTATTGTTATGTTAATCCCCATACATTACATCATTAGTTTTAGATGTAGTGTTCCATGATTCATTGTTTGTGCATAACACCCAGTG